AAATCATCGTTATGTTGTCCGAGACCAAATTCCCGTACACTGAAATCATCGTTATGTTGTCCGAGACCAAATTCCCGTACACTGAAATCGGTTTTATAAAATGTTTGTTGTTGGACTGATTATCTATCGGTTTAAAATTTAGATTTTAGATTTTAGCAGCATAGCTATTTTACCTGTATGACTGAATGTATCATTTCAAACACGAAATATTACCAACGTATAGGACTTGCATAAGCACCAATAGACACACATACACATGACTAAGAAAGTAGGGAAACTGTTTAGGTACATAAGGAGACAGAAACTGTCGGATCACATTTTACTAACTTTGCACTGCTTTTGCAACCCTATTGATGTCAAGGGTGTGTGCGTGTCAGTACTCTGATAGACAAACAACTCCACAGGACGGCAGTGTTTGGAGAGGAAATAATGTGAAGTTACGAAAACAAAACTTTAATGAAATCACAAATGCGCTAAGTCGCGTTGACTGAATCATTTCAACAAACTGTATTTGGGCTCTCCTCGTTTATGAGTTTACTTCAATGGTTGTAAAGGCAAATGCTTTGTAAGTTAGATAACAGTCATCTGATGTATAACATTAGGGTCGCTGTGTATTCATAATCAGAAAAGAAAACCGAATTCGCTATAAACCAGGCCCACTTTGAATCTATGGTCAGTAGCATCAGTATTCTTCCCCTGTGTCGATTATTTACCTCAGCATCAGTGACGTTACTGTTTCTTTTTGTCAAACCTAGTAAACAAAGCTGTTTCGTTCCGCTTCCTGTTCCGTTCTGAGTTTTGTTATCAATTGTTATTAAGTGATAGTCACGCCTTATGTTCCGTTCTCAGTTTTGTTAGTAAGTGATAGTCACGCCTTATGTTCCGTTCTGAGCTTTGTTAACAATTGTTATTAAGTGATAGTCACGCCTTATGTTCCGTTCTGAGTTTTGTTATTAAGTGATAGTCACGCCTTATGTTCCGTTCTGAGTTTTGTTAACAATTGCTATTAAGTGATAGTCACGCTTCCTGTTCCGTTCTTAGTTTTGTTATCAATTGTTATTAAGTGATAGTCACGCCTTATGTTCCGTTCTGAGTTTTGTTAACAATTGTTATTAAGTGATAGTCACGCCTTATGTTCCGTTCTGAGTTTTGTTAACAATTGTTATTAAGTGATAGTCACGCCTTATGTTCCGTTCTGAGTTTTGTTAACAATTGTTATTAAGTGATAGTCACGCCTTATGTTCCGTTCTGAGTTTTGTTAACAATTGTTATTAAGTGATAGTCACGCCTTATGTTCCGTTCTGAGTTTTGTTAACAATTGTTATTAAGTGATAGTCACGCCTTATGTTCCGTTCTGAGTTTTGTTAACAATTGTTATTAAGTGATAGTCACGCCTTATGTTCCGTTCTGAGTTTTGTTAACAATTGTTATTAAGTGATAGTCACGCCTTATGTTCCGTTCTGAGTTTTGTTAACAATTGTTATTAAGTGATAGTCACGCCTTATGTTCCGTTCTGAGTTTTGTTAACAATTGTTATTAAGTGATAGTCACGCCTTATGTTCCGTTCTGAGTTTTGTTAACAATTGTTATTAAGTGATAGTCACGCCTTATGTTCCGTTCTGAGTTTTGTTAACAATTGTTATTAAGTGATAGTCACGCCTTATGTTCCGTTCTGAGTTTTGTTAACAATTGTTATTAAGTGATAGTCACGCCTTATGTTCCGTTCTGAGTTTTGTTAACAATTGTTATTAAGTGATAGTCACGCCTTATGTTCCGTTCTGAGTTTTGTTAACAATTGTTATTAAGTGATAGTCACGCCTTATGTTCCGTTCTGAGTTTTGTTAACAATTGTTATTAAGTGATAGTCACGCCTTATGTTCCGTTCTGAGTTTTGTTAACAATTGTTATTAAGTGATAGTCACGCCTTATGTTCCGTTCTGAGTTTTGTTAACAATTGTTATTAAGTGATAGTCACGCCTTATGTTCCGTTCTGAGTTTTGTTAACAATTGTTATTAAGTGATAGTCACGCCTTATGTTCCGTTCTGAGTTTTGTTAACAATTGTTATTAAGTGATAGTCACGCCTTATGTTCCGTTCTGAGTTTTGTTAACAATTGTTATTAAGTGATAGTCACGCCTTATGTTCCGTTCTGAGTTTTGTTAACAATTGTTATTAAGTGATAGTCACGCCTTATGTTCCGTTCTGAGTTTTGTTAACAATTGTTATTAAGTGATAGTCACGCCTTATGTTCCGTTCTGAGTTTTGTTAACAATTGTTATTAAGTGATAGTCACGCCTTATGTTCCGTTCTGAGTTTTGTTAACAATTGTTATTAAGTGATAGTCACGCCTTATGTTCCGTTCTGAGTTTTGTTAACAATTGTTATTAAGTGATAGTCACGCCTTATGTTCCGTTCTGAGTTTTGTTAACAATTGTTATTAAGTGATAGTCACGCCTTATGTTCCGTTCTGAGTTTTGTTAACAATTGTTATTAAGTGATAGTCACGCCTTATGTTCCGTTCTGAGTTTTGTTAACAATTGTTATTAAGTGATAGTCACGCCTTATGTTCCGTTCTGAGTTTTGTTAACAATTGTTATTAAGTGATAGTCACGCCTTATGTTCCGTTCTGAGTTTTGTTAACAATTGTTATTAAGTGATAGTCACGCCTTATGTTCCGTTCTGAGTTTTGTTAACAATTGTTATTAAGTGATAGTCACGCCTTATGTTCCGTTCTGAGTTTTGTTAACAATTGTTATTAAGTGATAGTCACGCCTTATGTTCCGTTCTGAGTTTTGTTAACAATTGTTATTAAGTGATAGTCACGCCTTATGTTCCGTTCTGAGTTTTGTTAACAATTGTTATTAAGTGATAGTCACGCCTTATGTTCCGTTCTGAGTTTTGTTAACAATTGTTATTAAGTGATAGTCACGCCTTATGTTCCGTTCTGAGTTTTGTTAACAATTGTTATTAAGTGATAGTCACGCCTTATGTTCCGTTCTGAGTTTTGTTAACAATTGTTATTAAGTGATAGTCACGCCTTATGTTCCGTTCTGAGTTTTGTTAACAATTGTTATTAAGTGATAGTCACGCCTTATGTTCCGTTCTGAGTTTTGTTAACAATTGTTATTAAGTGATAGTCACGCCTTATGTTCCGTTCTGAGTTTTGTTAACAATTGTTATTAAGTGATAGTCACGCCTTATGTTCCGTTCTGAGTTTTGTTAACAATTGTTATTAAGTGATAGTCACGCCTTATGTTCCGTTCTGAGTTTTGTTAACAATTGTTATTAAGTGATAGTCACGCCTTATGTTCCGTTCTGAGTTTTGTTAACAATTGTTATTAAGTGATAGTCACGCCTTATGTTCCGTTCTGAGTTTTGTTAACAATTGTTATTAAGTGATAGTCACGCCTTATGTTCCGTTCTGAGTTTTGTTAACAATTGTTATTAAGTGATAGTCACGCCTTATGTTCCGTTCTGAGTTTTGTTAACAATTGTTATTAAGTGATAGTCACGCCTTATGTTCCGTTCTGAGTTTTGTTAACAATTGTTATTAAGTGATAGTCACGCCTTATGTTCCGTTCTGAGTTTTGTTAACAATTGTTATTAAGTGATAGTCACGCCTTATGTTCCGTTCTGAGTTTTGTTAACAATTGTTATTAAGTGATAGTCACGCCTTATGTTCCGTTCTGAGTTTTGTTAACAATTGTTATTAAGTGATAGTCACGCCTTATGTTCCGTTCTGAGTTTTGTTAACAATTGTTATTAAGTGATAGTCACGCCTTATGTTCCGTTCTGAGTTTTGTTAACAATTGTTATTAAGTGATAGTCACGCCTTATGTTCCGTTCTGAGTTTTGTTAACAATTGTTATTAAGTGATAGTCACGCCTTATGTTCCGTTCTGAGTTTTGATAACAATTGTTCTTAAGCGATAGTCACGCCTTATGTTCCGTTCTGAGTTTTGTTAACAATTGTTATTAAGTGATAGTCACGCCTTATGTTCCGTTCTGAGTTTTGTTAACAATTGTTATTAAGTGATAGTCACGCCTTATGTTCCGTTCTGAGTTTTGTTAACAATTGTTATTAAGTGATAGTCACGCCTTATGTTCCGTTCTGAGTTTTGTTAACAATTGTTATTAAGTGATAGTCACGCCTTATGTTCCGTTCTGAGTTTTGTTAACAATTGTTATTAAGTGATAGTCACGCCTTATGTTCCGTTCTGAGTTTTGTTAACAATTGTTATTAAGTGATAGTCACGCCTTATGTTCCGTTCTGAGTTTTGTTAACAATTGTTATTAAGTGATAGTCACGCCTTATGTTCCGTTCTGAGTTTTGTTAACAATTGTTATTAAGTGATAGTCACGCCTTATGGGAGCTGCTTCTCACACTTCATTGTACGGAGAAAGAAGAATATTTCTTAGAATCAGCCATAATTATGCCCTTACTTGAAGTCGATCAAAATGTTTAAAAAAGGTTTAAGTATGGACAACCAGTGTTGCATTAATTTTGATGTACTTAGTACAACAGCTAGTGGTGTAATACATATGTTAATTGTGTGATGCATAAATTAGTCGTGATGTAGTGCTCAAGTTAACTGTGATGTAGTACACAAGTTAGTTATGTAATACACAAATAAGTCGTCGTGATTCAGTGCTCAAGTTAGCTGTTGATGTAGTACACAGGCTCATTGGTGATGTAGTGCACAAGTTAATTGTGATATGGTACACAAGTTAGACATGACTTAGCACTCAATTTTGTTTTAAATAGCCAGTTGATACTAATACATCGCTCGTTACCATGGTAACTTAGCAGCAATACAATCACCGCCTATCTCTGTTATGTTACTAAGAACAGACCTCCGATAATGAGGCCATCGTCTCCTATGAGACAGGTTTTCATTAGAAGCATTCTTAATCACATTTAAATTCTTTGATCTGTCAACAGCCAATGATATCAGAATAAACTTGTATTAAAAAAGATAACATGAATACCGTGTAACTATCTCGTCTTTGTTTTATTTTTCGTTGTAATTTATTAAGTCGTATACATACACATATATTCGCAATTATGACGACAAAATGTGTATATCTTGCGCATGTCCTTGCAGGTTAATCACAAACAAAATCAAATTGTTGTGAGGTCACGACCGCAGGTAAATATTAGGAGTGTTCTGTGTCCCTGACCGCGTGTGTCTAACACTGACCATTGTCCATTGGTGTGAGGGGCTCGCTGTCGATCCCGTATGTACGTAGTATCTTGTACACTCGTTTTACGGACTTGGCGTTGATTTCTCCACGTTGTCTGGTTAGCAGCCATACTTTTTCTAGAACAAAGAATCGTGACATCACGCACTATAGACTTGGCGTTGGTAACGTAAAACAATACACCACGTCTATACGGATCGTTCGTGTTCACACTTTTATTTCAAATAAGAAACAAATAACTTTAGACAGCCATTTCTTGTACAACACTGGGTACGTTAAAAGTGTTTTAAACAAGTAAAATGCAGCAAAGCTGCTACACACATGATCTTTAGATAAAAGTCACTTACTGACAGTCCAACAACCACGAGGAACAGATTCTGCACACTTGAATTTATCTTTGGATATTAATGGCATCAATATAAACGTTCAGAATATTCTGTTCACGCTGAACATCTTCAAATGTTGCACTATTGTCAATAATTTTCCCAAGGCACGGAAGTGTACATCTTTAACTGCACGTTTCAACGTCAACCATTTGGTAATACAGTCATGTTCTGAGAGAGAGGAATCAGTACATGATGTACAATAATAGTATTTATGACTGCCGCAATAACTATCAACTGTCTTCAGGGTTAAAGTGTCAATCATAGCCCCTTTTAAATTGAATTACAGTTTATACATAAAATGTTATTACAGTGTATCTGGTGGAGGACACTTGTTCTACGAAGATACACTCCGCCATAACGCTAGTTTTCTGGTTGTTATTACATATTTGCTTTAAATGGGTGAAATATATACCTAGTGCTCAACGGGAAAATCTTTTTTTTTTAAATTCAATTTATAAAGTAACGCGGCGCAAATATTTTGAATGAGGTTCTCACTGCAATTTTGCCGTTGCTGCTATTATCTAGTAATATTTCCAAAATAAAAAAAAAATGAAATCAATGGTGTATTTATGTAAATATCATAATGCATGTTGCAATATTGGAATAAAACAGACACTTATTTGCCGTCGCTTCATCTGAACTTGAAACTAATAATCTTTGCAGTGAAGAGAAAGAACTGTTCTGATTGGACAATACTTATAGTGGTGAAGATTTAACATTTCGTCTATATTGACTGCATTGAAGATAACAGAGTTTATCAAACGGGGACTTTGTGATATTTCACTGTTAAAATGTTATAAATATGGATATCGTAGGGTTAACTATTATACTTTTGTAGATAGTTGCGGCCTCAATTTCCCAGAGGGCTTTCACGATTGGGAAAGCACCGGAAGTGGACAAAGTGTTTACATATCGTTTTGCGCCGCTTAGCCTTGCTAGCTATATATAAGGTAGCCGTGTATGATGAGACTTTGTGTTTGCTGTTATGATGCACGTGTGTTTGTTTAAAAAATGAACTTTCATGTTTTGTCTCCTTCTCGTTTGTTCGTTTATACCTTACCAAATCCATCCTTCACTCACCTGACCGGAAGAAAGCGTAGTCTGAACATGCGTACACTAATGAGAACGACCTATAATTACTGGCTATCACTTGGTAGTCGTCTGTTGACCCTGAAACCGAATATAAACTCTGCTTTAGAATAGATTACAATGATGTGATCCACCAGGTTAAACATTGGGGCCATACACGGAATATCTAGCAGTTCTCTCACCCCTACATTAACAAATTACTACAACAGAACTACTGCAAATGTAATTCACCAGTGTCATTACTAGATATTTTACATGACGACAGTGTCATTAATAGATATTCTATATGACGACAGTGTCATTACTAGATATTTTACATGACGACAGTGTCATTACTAGATATTTTACATAACCGACAGTGTCATTACTAGATAGTTTACAGTACCAACAGTGTCATTACTAGATATTTTACATGACGACAGTGTCATTACTAGATATTTTATATGACCAACAGTGTCATTACTAGATATTTTACAGGACCAACAGTGTCATTACTAGACATTTTACATGACGACAGTGTCATTACTAGATAATTTACATGACCATCAGTGTCATTACTAGATATTTTACATGGCGACAGTGTCATTACTAGATATTTTACAGTACCAACAGTGTCATTACTAGATATTTTACATGACGACAGTGTCAATACTAGATATTTTACAGGACCAACATTGTCATTACTAGATATTTTACAGTACCAACAGTTTCAATACTAGGTATTTTACAGGACCGACAGTGTCATTAATAGAAATTTTACAGTACCAACAGTGTCATTATTAGATATTTTACAGTACCAACAGTGTCAATACTAGATATTTTACAGGACCAACTGTGTCATTACTAGATATTTTACTTGACGACAGTGTCATAACTAGATATTGTACATGACCATTAGGGTCATTACTAGATATTTTACATGGCGACAGTGTCATTACTAGATATTTTACAGTACCAACAGTGTCAATACTAGATATTTTACAGGACCGACAGTGTCATTAATAGATATTTTACAGTACCAACAGTGTCATTACTAGATATTTTACAGTACCAACAGTTTCAATACTAGGTATTTTACAGGACCGACAGTGTCATTAATAGAAATTTTACAGTACCAACAGTGTCATTACTAGATATTTTACAGGACCATCATTGTCATTACTAGATATTTTACATAAACGTTAGTGTCATTACTAGATATTTTACAGGACCATCATTGTCATTACTAGATATTTTACACGACCGACAGTGTCATTACTAGATATTTTACATAACCGTTAGTGTCATTACTAGATATTTTACTTGACCAACAGTGTCATTACTAGATATTTACATTGTTTGTGATTCACTACTTACACTGGGACAATGCTTGTGATTCACTACTTACACAGAGATAATGCTTGTGCTTCACTACTTACACAGAGATAATGCTCGTGATTCACTTCTTACATCTTGAGGAAGTTTGTAATTCACTACTTACACAAAGATAATGTTTGTTATTCACTTCCTACACAGGGAGAATGTTTGTGATTCACTACTTACACAGAGATAATGTTTGTGATTCACTACTTACACAGAGAGAATGTTAGTGATTCACTACTTACACAGAGAGAATGTTTGTGATTTACTACTTACACAGGGAGAATGTTTGTAATTCACTACTTACACAGAGAGAATGTTTGTGATTCACTACTTACACGGAGATACTGTTTGTGATTCACTACTTACACCTTGAGAATGTTTGTGATTCACTACTTACACAGAGATAATGTTTGTGATTCACTACTTACACAGAGATACTGTTTGTGATTCACTACTTACACTGGGACAATGCTTGTGATTCACTACTAACACAGAGATAAAGCTTGTGATTCACTACTTACACAGAGATAATGCTCGTGATTCACTACTTACACAGGGAGAATATTTGTGATTCACTACTTACACAGAGAGAATGTTTGTGATTCACTACTTACCCCTTGAGAATGTTTGTGATTCACTACTTACACAGAGAGAATGTTTGTGATTCACTACTTACACAGAGAGAATGTTTGTGATTCAATACTTACACAGAGAGAATGTTTGTGATTCA